TACCTGTAGTTGTGTCTGGATACATACTCACTTATAATGATTTTGTTTTAGGATCCACATATGAGGGAGAACATATATCTTTTGTTTTTCAGAGTCCGTGTTACTTCACTTTTAACAGTTTCTAGTTCCATCCATTTACATGAAAATTTCATGATTACATCTTTCTTTACTGCTGAGTAAAACTCCATCGTATAAATGAACCACATTTTCACTATCCACTGTGAATTTTTAAACTCTGACATTTGAAACTCACTCTGGATACCTGAAATCCAGCCATATGAAATGCTTCCCTGTCATTTTGTTTTAAAAATAGTTATGGTGAATTGTAGTTATGGAATTATGATTGTCTCAAGAAGGGCCCCACAGAGAGAAAAATAATTTTCTCTAATTAAAATCTACCCCAAGTTGGACACATACTTGTCATCCCAGCACATGGGATTCTGAGGTAGGAGGATTGCATGTATGGGACCAGCCTAGGCTGGTGAGACCCTGTGTCAAAAAAAAAGAAAGAAAAATAAAATAAAATCCAGACCATGGCACTGGGCCAACAAAACTCAAACAGAAACAACAGAAAACTACGGCATTGTTTAAATCTTTCTAAATAAATACAACCTTTTGCTTTTGTATTCGGCAGGGCTACATCCGACAGTGTCGCAAGCACACGGGAATGTTCACTGTTGCGCAGCTTGCCACTATTTTTGGAAACATTGAAGACATTTACAAATTCCAAAGAAAGTTCCTGAAAGACCTTGAGAAACAGTACAACAAAGAGGAACCTCACTTAAGCGAAATAGGATCCTGCTTTCTTCAGCACGTATGTCACCGTTACTCCGTCAGTCCTATCCGGTTAAACAATAGCCTTGAAAAGTGTTGCCACCAAAAACAGGAGTCTGGAGGGTTCTTCCACTGGCTCCTATACTGCCATTAGGTAGATATGACTTAATTTCCCTGTTTTACAGAGGAGGAAACTGAGGTCCAGAGAGTGAGTGGCTCAAGGTCACATGCTCATAAGCAGATGGTGACACTACCCCAGAGCATTCTTGTGACAGCCACATGAGTTATTGGTACTTGCTGGTGATTGACTATTACTGGTTGTCAATAAAAGATTTCAGAGATTTTATTTCCAGCCAGAAGACTTAGACAATAGACACAGTAGTTACCGATGGTAATAGCAATGCCCCCTCTCTCTTCCTGGGTGCTGGGCCCAGTGGCTTCCTAGGGCTAGAACTGGAGGGTTGAGTAGACTTTAAATTACTGAGCATGGTGATTCTGTGGAAAGCAGGTAGAACATGGGCCGCTGGGTGCACAGGCATCTTTGGGACACTGAAGAAGACTGTGGGGACAGACCAGCAGGACCTTGTTGGGGAGCAACTAGGGAGAAGCTTTTGAGGTGAATGAAGGCAGAGGAGAGCAGGCAAAGGAGTAGCCTAGAATTCTTACTGGCACCACTATAGGGCTCAGCCCTGTGAGGTGATGGCCCAGGGGCCGATGAAAGGAGTATTTCCAAAGGAAGTTTGACAGGGTTAGTTGTGATCAGTGAAGAAAGAGCAGTGATTTCCAGCATCTGGAGTCAGAATGTTAACAGGTAGGGTGGGAAAATCTGCGTTCTAGGGAAAAGGGGGCTTGGTGGTAGACCCATTGCATTTGAGCACAGCCAAGCCTGCATGGCAGAGCAGGGGTGGCAGGAAGGACGGGCAGCTGCAAGCACATGGTCCAGTAGCATGTGGCCCTGTGGCTGAGGGTGGGGAAAAAGTGATGGTCAGGGGATGTGGAATGCTGCCCAGGGACAATGGTGCCTATCTGGCCTTGGGAGAAGGAAGGAGGAAAGTAGTTCCAAGCTCAGGAGGGCTGGCAGCATGAGGACAGGGGTACAGCTGCACTTTAGAACAGGAAGTCTGTAAGAAAGGAAGTAGGCAGAGGCCTTCAGTTGGGGGTGGGGTAAGGGGTAGGGGGGGCATGTGGAAGCCAGGTGCAAGGGTTAGGCAGTATGCAGGCAGCACCAGTCAGATTTTATCAGTGAAAGGAAAGGGGACCAGGATGTAGAATTGGGCCTCAGCATTGCCTTTCCCCTGTCTGCTGTTCCAGCCCCAGGCCAGAGCTGGATGAGGCATGGATGATAGGGTCCCTTCTCCTTCTAGCTCACCCTTACAGAGAACCCAGTCATCCCCCACCCAGAACACCACATGTGCCCTTCCTATTGGCCAGGTATGAAAGCCACTGCTGAGCTTGGGTTGTCTTCGGGATCCTGGCCTATGCTCCCACTTCTCTAGGAGTGTGTCCACAGATGGCCTAGAGCCACTGTGACTGACAGGCTGCCTTCCTTTCCAGCAAGAGGGCTTTGCCATCTACTCTGAGTATTGCAACAACCACCCTGGCGCCTGTGTGGAGCTATCCAACCTCATGAAGCAGGGCAAGTACCGGCACTTCTTTGAGGCCTGCCGCCTGCTCCAGCAGATGATTGACATCGCCTTGGATGGCTTCCTCCTCACACCAGTGCAGAAGATCTGTAAATACCCACTGCAGCTGGCAGAGCTGCTTAAGTACACCACTCAAGAGCACAGGTGAGTAGGGCCCCTCAGGGACCTCAGCAGCTGGATGGAAGCTGCGCTGGCCATGTGTGCTCTGGCTAGCCTGGCACTTCTGGAATAGTGAGCACGGGTGGTGTTCCTGCACTTTCACAGATGTTTACAGTGTTTATCATCTCCTGAGGCAAGGTGTCTAAAGAGACTCCACGACGTCTACAGTTTAAAAAACAGAAGAATAATTCTTAAACTTGTTTCATAAGAACATGGGGATTTTCTTTGGTTTTGATTTTTGTTGTTTGGGGTTTGGTTTGGGGTTTGAGTTTTTTAAATATTTCATTTATTATTTTTATGTGTATGAGTGTACTGCCTGCATGTATCTAAGTGCAGTGCTTGCAGAGGTCAGAAGAGGGTGTCAAATTCCCTGGAACTGGAGTTACGGACAGTTGTTAGCTGCCATGAAGGTGCTGGGAATCGAACCCAGGTTCTCTGCAAGAGCAGCCAGAGTTCTTAACCACTGAACCACCTCTCCAACCCCTGGTTTTGAGCTTTTTGAGCTAGGCTCTCACTGTGTGGCCAAGGTTCACCTGAAACTCATGATCCGCCTGCCTTGGTCTCCCGAGAGCTGGGATTATAGATAGGCATGCACCACTATACCTGGCTGCATGGGGATTTTTACTCTATTATTGTTATAACTAACAAATATTATATTAATATTCTTTTGGAGTCATTCAGTGGCTTGCTACTTTTTAGTTTTTAAAAGAAATGGATGAGTGCAAGTAAGTGTTCTTTTTTTATCCTTTGGGGATCTGTTCCAAGGCACCAGTGACTCCCTGACCCCATGTGCAGAACTAAGTCTGTACATGCACATGTGTGTACATATACAGTGTTTCCTCCTGTGCATGCAGACCTATGAGAAAGATTAATTTAAAGCTGGGTATGGCAGCTTACATCTGCAATCACAGTACTTAGAATGAAGGCTGCAGCTTCAAGGCCAGCATGGGCTACATAATGAGTTCCAGTATAGCCTGAACTACAAAATGAGAGCCTGTCTCAAAAAGAGAGATTAATTTAGAAATAAGGAACTGTAAGAGATTACCAACAACTCATAAGAGAACATTTATAAGAATATATGACAATAAAAGTTATTTAAATTTATTTCTAGAATTTTCCATTTAATGTTTACAGTCTGAGGTTGTCCATGAGTAATGGAAACCCAGCAAAACAGATCTGGATAGAGAAGCAGTGGATGTAGAGAGAGGGGGAACTGCTGAATCCCGATAAGGGCAGTACAGTGTCACCTGCCAGGGCTAGAAGGTGGCTGACTCTTGTCCTCTCTGAACTCCTGGGCAGAGAGAGGCTTAAAAGGGGACCTCTTACAATAGAGGCAAGGTGAAGAATGAGAACTACTGAACAACAGACCCTGGTTAGGTGCTAGTTTAATTATAGAACCAAATGAATCTAAGGAGATGGGAGTTCATTGAAATAGATAAAAGGGTAGAGAAAAGGGAAATGTATAGCCTCTGTCTCTGAAGAGAGAGAATGAAAAAGCATCATAGAGTGAATTCGGGGAAAACAAATGAGAGAGTTAAGAAAAGCAAAGACTGCCGGGTGTGGTGGCACATGCCTTTAATCCCAGCACTCCAGAGGCAGGTGGATCTCTGTGAGTTCAAGGCCAGCCTGGTTTACATAGTAAGTTCTGGGCCAGCTGAGACTACAGGGAGACCCTGTCTCAAAAAGACCAGGAAAAAATAAATAAATAAATAAATAAATAAATAAACCTACACATACCAAAAAAAAGGAGGAGGAGGAGGAGGAAAGCAAAGACTTTTTGAAGTCAGTGGCAGCTTCATACATTCCAGGGTGGGCAAACTATGACCATACCCCATGTTATTATTATTACTTTTATTGGGGTAAGATGAAATATATGTGACAGAACATGTGTGGAGGTCAGAAGACAACTTGTAGAATAGGTTCTCTCCTTCCACCTTTATGTGGGTTCTAGGACTCGAACTCAGGTCCACAGGCTATCTCCTGAGTTGCTAGGATTATAGGCATGCCCACACCTGCCTTTAAGAAGAAGTGTTGCTGCTGTTATTGTTGTTTCAGTTGTGGGGGCAGGGTTTCATCAAGTAGCACAGGCTGTCCTCAAATTCTTAATCCTCCTGCCACAGCCTCCAGAGTGCTAGGATTATAGGTGTACACCATCACACCTCCCTTTAAACAGAAGTTGTTGTTGTTGTTACTGTTGTTTCAGTTGTGGGGATTAGGTCTCAGTAAGGAGTACAGGCTAGCCTCAAATTCTTGATCCTCTGGCCACAGCCTCCTGAGCCCTGGGATGACAAGTGTGCACCATCAGGTCTAGCTTTTTATAAACAATTATAAACAACTTTTATAAACAATTATAATCAATTTATAATCAATTATAAAATTTCAAGGAAGGGACCAAAAGACTATTTCCTTTTTAAGATAAAACGGAACAAAAATTCTAGAAAAAAGAATCAAATGGACAAACAAAAAACCTCTTAAATTCTGGCCCTCTTTTTGAACTTACCAGAAACTTTGGACTTTTCTTTGGGGTTTGTTCCCATTTCTCGGGCAGCTCCAGGCATCATGTTTATTGTGCTTTCTGCTCTGTCTCCATGAGATCAGACCTGTGAAAAGACACAGAATCTGCTTTATGGATGGTGCCAAGACTTCCCAGGAGCTGAGTTCTCCTGTGTTGGTACACAGCATCTGCTCCCAAGGCTGCAGAGGAGAATTCTAATGCATCAGGGTCCCCATTAAATCCCCAACAGGAGCATAAGAGGTCCAGCCTGTTTAGCTGGGTGATCCATTTACACGTCTCCCATGTACTCCAGCCAAACAAAACCTGAATGTAACACTTAAGATGCTAGACATGCTGTATCCTGGCCTGCATGTAGATTAATACTCTGGTTTTAGGATATTCAGTACTTAACAGAGGTGTGGGCCTGGGACCTGTGGGGAGACCTTTTAGTTTGGGTTGGCTGTAGCATCCAGAAGTAAAGAGACATGTTGGGGAGGCAGGTGTCCTCTTAGCACCTACACAAAGCATCACTTCAGACCGTGTTGCTTGTGGCCTTTCATGTCCCTTCTTGAACAGGTAAAAGATGAGGCTTGATACAGATAATTGGTCTTGAAATGGGCAATGGTTTCTAAACTGCTTTATAGAGCAAAGCTGGTTATGACAGACTCAAAGCAATGATGAAGACCGACCTCTCTGTGCTAACGGAAGTCACTATGACTAACAGTTGGTTTCTCTGGCATTTACTTTCATTCATGCTGACTTCTGGGAAATGAATGAAAACATTCTTATCCCAAAAGAATTGTGAATTGCATCTCCTCCACTCACTCAACCTGTGCAGACTGTGGTCTATTCATGGGGAAACAATGGCTCTTACTCAGATGCCAGTTTGTGTAGACAATTAGTATATAGGTCAGGGAGGGAGCACATTATTTTGTCAGTTCTCATTTGTGAGCTGCATGTCATACAATTAATTAACTTCTCATTTTGCAGTGATTACAGCAATATAAAGGCTGCTTATGAGGCCATGAAGAATGTGGCCTGTTTGATCAACGAACGAAAGCGCAAGCTGGAGAGCATCGACAAGATCGCGCGCTGGCAGGTGTCCATCGTAGGCTGGGAGGTGAGTGGGAATGACACGCACATCACAGTAGGGCTTGTGTCTCCTGTGCTTTCACCCAGTGACGATGTACTTAACCATTCTAAGTTTGTCATTATGTGCTCTGTCATCAATGGTATGTGTACGACTTAATGTTCTCTGCATTTTGAGGGATTTTGCTAAGTTTAATAGTCAACTACTCTATACCCCATGCCCACAAAAAAATACAGTCTGGACAGGTGAGATGACTCAGCAGGTAAAGGTGCTGGTCACCAAGCCCAAAGACATGAGACATGACTTCAGCCACCAAGAACCACATGGTAGAAGGAAAGTACCAACCCCTGCAAATTGTCTTCTGACCTCCATCTATGAACTGTGACATGTGTGTACCCACACATATGCACACACAGGATAAATGAAAATATAGTTAAAGAGAAATCTAGCCTGATGAGTGTCAGTCATTAATAAATTGCTTAGCCTCTAGTCTCCCTGACATGGAGAGACCAGCTTCATAAGGAGCAAGGGGACTATGCAGTCATGGTGACATTTGAATCCTGAATGATTCAGGCAGATTCTCTTTTATCACCTTTAAGTTGGGGAGAAAAATACTACTTCCTAGGCTGTGGAAGCATTGTATATAGTAGTTCAAATACACTACCTGATCAGGCCCACAACAATCACTCAATGGTATACTCACCATTATACAAACATTCAAACATACGTACGTACATACATATATACATACATGTATTATGCTTACCACTAGTTCCATTTATGAACCCACTTAATCCTCTCAATAGTCCTTTGAGGGAGGCACTATGATTATACCCATTTAATGAGTAGAAATAAAAAGGTTCCCAAAGGGTAAGTTCCTCGTCTATGGCCACATAACTAGAAAGTGACAGAGCTAGATTTCAACCCAGGAATCCAGTGGGATGCAAAGTCTGTATTGGTCACCTCTACACTCTACCTCAGTGACTAAGAACAAGGCAGTGCTATTTGGATTATTCTTAAACTGAGTAAGGTTCACCTACATCTACCAGCTGGTTAAACCTGATTCTCACAGAACTGAGAAGGTGAGGAATGAGCAGGCAGGAATTCAGCTGAAGGTGATGCGAGCAGGGAACTCTGGGAAGCACTTCTTTCTCAGGGGCCTTGGCCTCCCCTCAGAGATTGTGGTCTGAATCCCTTATTTTGCAAGTGAAGAATCTAGGACACAAAGCTACTGTAGGCAAGGAACTAGAAGAAATATTTTGGAGTCACGCTCTTTTGCTTCCAAAAAGTACTGTGTATTACTGAGATTAAAGAAGAATAAAGTCTTACAAATGTAGACCAGTAGCATACCAAATACCATAAAATAACACTGGCTTCTGTTCATCCTAGATATTGTAAGAGGGTGTTTTCTTTCCAGTCTTAAATTCTAACACTTAGGGGGCAGTTTTTCCAGAGTTTGCTAATTTCCTGCTGGCAGCCTGGCCTCCTGTTTCCAAGACCCTGGGAGTCGACAGATACTTCTGATACAACTCAGAAGTCATCAGAGTTAGTGGTGCTGTGTCCCTGTTTGTTAAAGCCTGCTTCTTTCTTGTTTTGGGGAGGTTCTTCATCAGCTCCTAATGCAGGGTTAGCTGGATTCCGTTACTTTAGCCTGGTTTTCTCCAAGGGTGTAGGTCAGGAAGATACTTCTGGTAACAGGTACCTTTAACGTCTTCCCAGTGAGTAGGAAATAAAGAACAATAAAGAGTTGTTTCACAGGCTGGAGAGGTGGTTCAGGGGTTAAGAGTACTGGCAGCTCTTGCAGAGAACTTGAATTTGGTTCTCAGCACCCAAATGGTGGCTAACAAACCATCCGTAACTCCAGTTCCAGTGGCTCTGACACCCTCTTCTGACCTCTCTGGGCATTGCATGATACAGGTGCACTTCCATACATGCAGGCAATATACTCATACACATAAAAATAATCAAAAAAAATTTTTTAAAGAGAAATGTTTCATGGACAGAGAACCCAGAAAGCCAAGGTCTGGGGGGCCTTTGAGACCTTGCTTGCCTGTGTTGGGGGCAGCGGGGGGGGATCTTTAGAGAGCTAGAATATTATACCAGAGGCCCCTCCTGTGTTCTTGCCACCAGAAGGAATCCAAAACCAGAAGGAATCAGAAAACTTAAAATGTATTTTTATTCCCCTAGGGCCTAGACATTCTAGACCGCAGCTCTGAGTTGATTCATTCAGGCGAGCTGACCAAAATCACCAGGCAGGGCAAGAGCCAGCAGCGCATTTTCTTCCTGTTTGATCACCAGCTGGTGTCCTGCAAGAAGGACCTGCTGCGCAGGGACATGCTCTACTACAAGGGCCGCATGGACATGGACGAGGTGGAACTTGTAGATGTGGAGGATGGGCGGGACAAGGACTGGAACCTCAGCATGAGGAATGCTTTCAAGCTGGTCAGTAGGACCACGGATGAGGTTCATCTGTTCTGTGCCAAAAAGCAAGAGGACAAGGCAAGGTGGCTGCAGGCCTATGCGGATGAGAGGCGGCGGGTGCAGGAAGACCAGCAGATGGGTGAGTTCCCTTGGCCCTGGAAGCCAGCTGCTCCTGCTTTCCAACCTCCTCCATCCCTGGCCAGTTGTGACTGAGAGCTGAATCCCACTGCTGGGAAAATAGAGGATTGACAAACTCTAAACTCTGCCCATGGCAGCTGGGGCTGCTGTAAGCGCTTACTTTGTGGAGCATTTGCAGAAATTGTCCATAAACCCCTAGGTTGTCCTCACTAATCTTATTCCCATTTTATAGATGGGAGACTTGAGCCTTAAGGAATGGACCCACTCCTAAACATGGCGCACATAGCATGTAACATCAATTTGGTATGTCCCAAGGGACTTAACCATCTAGTAATGATATTCCTCCCCTCCCCCCCAACCATCAGAAACACCAAGTGGCTCACTTTTGTTTCTTTCCTATTTATTTGTGTGTGTATGTATGTATGTATGTATGTATTTGAGGGTCTCCCTGTAGCCCTGACTGGTCCACAATTGGCTATGCAGACCAGAGTGGCCTCCGTCTCACAGAGATCCGTCTACCTCTGCCTCCCGAGTGCTGGGATTAAAGGTGTACATTACCAGACTTGGCTGCTGTCCCTCTCTCCTTCCTTCCTTCCTTCTTCACACCTATCTACCTACTTATCTACCTTCCTTCTTCTTTTCTTGTGTATGTGTATGGTGTATGTGCACGTGGGGGGGGGTGCACATGTACATGTGTATAGAGACCAGAGGAGGACATTGGATGTCCTGCTCTATCACTCTCTGCCTTACTCCTTTAAGACAAGGTCTCTCACTGAACCGGGGGCTAAGGCTGTCAGCCAACAAGCCCCAGTGATCCTCCTGTCTCTGCTCCTCACAGCTTTGGGTTACAGGTACGTGCATGCATATACTGGCTTTCTACATAGACACTGGAGAATTGAACTCATGTCCTCATACTTTGTGCTGCAAGTACTTGTACCCACTGTTCTAGTTTGTTCTTCATTGCTGTAACAAAACACTCTGATCACTACCAACTTGGGAGGAGAGGGTTTATTTATCTTATATCTCCCGGGTCACAGTTTATCAAGGAGCCCAAGGTAGGAACTCAGGGCAAGAACCTGGAAGCAGGAGCTGGAGCATAGGCCATGGAGGAATGCTGCTTACTGGCTTGCTCTTCTGGCCCCTGCTCAGCCTGCTTTCTTATGCAACATAGGCCCACCTGCCAAGGAGTGGCACCACCCACAGTGGGCTGGTCCCTCCCACATCACTCATCAAGAAGATGCCCCTCAGACATGGCCACAGGCCAGTCCAATAGAGGAAATTCCCCAATTGAGGCTCCCTCAACCCAGGTGTGTCAAGTTGACACTAAAGCTTTCTAGCAAACCCACTGAGCCATCTCCCCAGCCCAGAGATATGAAATGATTTTCAAGCCCTCACTGACACCTTTGTAAAGCACTTCAAATTCACCTCACTGCCTGGGTCAGTTCAGAACAATCCCCCTATGTAATTCCCTACCTCTTGTAGCCACAGAACCATGTGCCACACATCTCAGTTAAGCCTTTACTCCTGATGCTCAATCTTGTAAAGGTTGTGCCCCCATAATATGAGATCAAAAACTCAAAAACTTTCTGAGTACCAGTGTGATATCACAATGAAAACTCCACATCTGACCTCATGTGAGGGGGTCTCAGTCAAAATGCAGGTGTACTAAAAATACAGTTTGGAATTACTTTCAAACTATGTATAAGGCATAAATGAAACATAACCAAATCATGTGTTTAGACTTTGGTCTCATCTCTAAGCTATCTTATTATGTCTTATATATGAAAATATTCAAGTCTGAAGTGTGACATACTCTGGCCCCACACATTTCAGATATGGAGTACCGAACCTGTTCTTTGGTCTGTCAACACAGCTTCTGCTGACTTTGGTAATTGTGTAGCCCTGTGAGACAGAAGGTGCCACATGGCATTAACAGTGGCAGCACCCATAGTTTTTAAACCCAAGCTCCAAAGCCTCCCAAACAAATTGGAAACATGAGCACAAACTATTGAATGTGGGCCATGGTGCCCCAAGAGACAAGGAGTTCTTAGGGATGAGATGAATGAGAGACACCAGTGTTGCCCCATCTCAAGGATCACATGGTCCGAGATGGTAGAGTTTCCCTCCCGCTGCTGCAGAACAGAAGCCACAGGAGTTTTAAGAGTGGTCCCCGTATTCCCTGCACCCAGCCACCAGCATCAGACTTTGCCCTTGATTCTGCCTTTGGCCACAGAAAGTGTTGTGCTGTCCTGTATTGACGGGACACATGTGAGCAACAGCCCTGGGGACCCTTTGCCTTGGCCTCTTCCCAGGGCATGATGCTTTAGGCCTGTAATTGGGGTGACCCCTGAGGACATCAGCTTGGGAATGATTGACTTGACAACAGCACCCCATTTGTTCTTTAAAATGGTTCAGAGGTCATCACGAAGTCCCAGTGATGGTTCTCTCCTTTCCAGTCAATCCTCTCAGGGTCCTTTGCTCCAGGCTGTGGAAAATATCTCAGAACACTGTGTTGTATGAATTTGTTCTGAAATGTTTTCATGGTTCTGAGTAGGCATTGCATCTGTTTCTAAATCCAGGAATGGAAATTCCAGAAAATCAAAAGAAACTTGCCATGTTAAATGCTCAGAAGGCAGGACACGGGAAGTCTAAAGGTAAGGTTGGAGTTCCCTTCCACAATAAGAGTGGAATGGGAAGAAGCCATGTGACTTTTTAGGAACAGACCCAGAGTGACAGGCAGCTGGAGAATCCTTCAGGTTTGGATGCAGATGCACAAAATCTCCCAGGTGGCACTAAAGGCCCATAGGCATCCTAGACCTCCCAGGCCCCCCTGCTCCTTACCCCCTATGGGAATGATGTTGTTTCCCACTGGACCAACCAGGTGACCAGTTAGGTAAACTGGAGCCTCTCTTGTATCCTGGAGTTTGAGGAGGACTCTCCAATACCACAGTGCTTGCTGACTGTAGGCTGCTGCACTGAGTTCAGGTCGGGGGAGGTCTCAGTGTTCAGTATGTTAGTGGTGAGAAGACCCTGGGCTTCTTCATAGCCTGCTTCCCCATTCACATACACATACACACTAGAGTGGCCTGGCAGTGACAGGGGAGCCCTCATGCCCAGACCACAGGCCAGGTCCTAGTGCGCACACTTGAGGTGTGAGGTCTCCTGGGTGTAGATAGCACCAACACCAACAGTCTACTTCAACTAGAGTCCAGTGGTAAGTTTGAATTTTGTTTTTAGGTTGTTTTCTGCTTTGTTTGTGTTTTTCCTGAAGCAGGATCTCACTATATAGAATAGCTCAAGCTAGGTCCTCCTGCCTCTGCCTCTCTAAAGTGAGTTCACAGGCAGGTGACACCATTACCAGGTTCAATAACAGATTGAATATTATTCCAAAACTGTGTGTTCTTACCCCTTTATTCAGATCAACTCTTCCACTTTGAGAGGGGCTGAGCCTATGAAGCTTGCCCCATTTGTTATTTTCTTGTCTGAAAATATAAAAACAAGGACCAGTTAAGCCCAGGCTGTGTGCAAGGTCTGCATTGAAGGAGCCAGGAAGACTTCCTTACCTAAATGGAACTTGCTTGTCCCTGGCTTTCTCTGTACAGATGTGGATCTTTTTGCTTCTGTAAGTTTAAGATATTTTCAAGTCAGAAAAACCCATTGTATTTATGTACTTAACTTACTGTAGCTCTGCTCTCGATGGCAGATTAGTAAATATGGGTATTAGCATTTGTTAGCTTGTCTGTGTTAAGCCACTCATGAGCAGCTGGGTTCCTGAAGAGTAAGACCCCAGCATGTGGGGCACTGGCCAGCTTCCCTGGGTTATCTGCCTGCTCACACTCAGTCTTTAAGATAAAAGGAACCATGGTGAGTCAGCAGGCATGAATGCTGAATTTTCTCCTCTCAGCCTCTAGACTTCTCTCTTCCATCATCTCCTATTGGCTTCTACAGTTTCCTTTTGATCTTATACTTCACTTTAGTTTAAAATGTCTTCTCTAATGAAACAGTTCTGGCTAAAGTGATGAGTTCTGGCTAAAGAAACCAAGCATGGTGACTTATACTATAATCCCTGCACTGGGGAGGCTGAAGCAAGAGCATTATGGCAAATTCAAGGGTTGCTTAAGCAACAGTGTAAAGTGCTGTCTCAAAAGACTAAACTAATTAGTTATGAGGGGGCCAGTGAGATGGCTCAGGAGGTAGTAACACTTGCTGCTAAGCCTGACAACCTGAGTTTGATCCCCAGGACCCACATGGTGGAAGGAGAGAACAGACTCTTTCAAGTTGTCCTCTGACTTACACACACACACACACACACACACACACACAAATAAATGTAATTAAAATAAAATAGGACTCCAGGCATTTCTGGTTTCTAAGCATGTTACTCTGTTTATTCTTACAACACCTTGGTATTATCTCTCCCATTTTAGAAATTAGAGAACTGAGGCACAGAGAAGTCAAAAAATTTCCCCTCAAATACTCACAGTGAGAAGTATGGTATAGCATCTGGGTAGGGAAGTACCAGACTTACTTTAGAGCATGTCGCTGCTTCTTGTCCCCATCGGGAACCCAGTTCTGATTCTTCGTTGACTGCCATTGTGGCTGAAAGTGATTCACCTTCCTGCAAAGTTCTGGGTGGACACCATGAGGTAATCTGTGTAGGCGTCACAAGTGATATCTGAAAGTCCTGTTTCTTAAGACAGCTGTTAGGTGTCCTTTTGTTTTCTGTGAATTAGCTAAAGCCTGTGACTTTCAAGTGACCAGTGTCTATTCTCTCCCTCATGGATTAGGCTACAGCAGCTGCCCTGCAGCCCCACCCCACCAGAGCCTGCCCCCACTTCACCAGCGCCATGTCACCGTGCCCACCAGTGTCCCCCAACAGCAGGTCTTTGCCTTGGCGGAGCCCAAGAGGAAACCATCACTCTTCTGGCACACCTTCCACAAACTTACCCCCTTTAGGAAATGAGTCCTGCCCAGGGTGTGCCCCTGAAGCGCCATGTGGGGAAGACTAACTTTGTTTCTTCAGCATATGTCCAGGGCAGCTTCTTGGCCCAGTGCTGAATGCTCCTTTGGGGGGATCAGTGAAGGAGAGAAGGAATGGGACTCACCTTCATCTTGAGAGACTCCAGTACCCTTATGGAAGGCCAGAGACCATGAAGCACTGATCTGTCTCACACTGGGAGCTGGGGCACACTCCCAGGTGTCTGGAATGTGGAACCAGAGCCTTACTCTATGAAGAATGCTGACCAGTGGCACTGCAAATTCCTCAGTGACATACCCCATCACAGTTTTAAAGAGCACCAGAGCCTTTCAATCCCTAAGGAATGACTGCGCTGAGGATTGCTTCTGTATTTGACCTTAAAGGATCCCTGGGCGGGGACTGGTAGGAAGCTGGCAGCCTCTCTCCAGCCTGTGCCTGGACACACCTGGAAGAGGCCCTCTTCCTCTGTCTTCTAGCAGTAGGGGAACTGTGGCTCCAGAGAGTTGCCCACAGTGTTCCATGGTGACTGGTGACATCTGAGTCCATGCAGGTGCCAAGTGACAGTCCAGGCTTCATCTTGCAAGGTTCTCTGTTCACAAGCTAGGGGGAGATGTGAGGTACCTGTCACCTGGCAGTGCAGGGATGAAAGCATCCTGAAGCCAGTGCTGCTTTCCAAACCAGAGGAAGGTTTTTCCCTTGCCAGCTGGTTTGTCCCTCTCACCTTGGTCCTCACCAGTTGCATGCCTTGTGTAAGTGACACCTCAAGTGAAGGTCATCTTGCTCACCCATTACAACCTAAGAAACTGCCCCTCACACAAGTGGTGGTGGTAGTACAAAAGTTTGTTCATCTAGTTTTGGTGTTGTACAATGTGTGGAACAGGCGTTCCTAAGTGAACCTGAGCATCTTCAGACTTTGCAAAGGCTTCACCGATGAGACAACAAAGATACACACGGTCCACAGAGAAAACAAGGGACAAAGCTGTCCTGCTTCCTGGGAAATTGGAGATACCTTTGTCCACATGACCCCACAGCGATAGTGGATGGCTGTGCCAGCTGGAGATTCATTCTGTATGATTCCTTAGCTCAGAGAGAGCCATCTTTTAATGAAGACCACACAGGCTGACACCTGCAAAAAATAATGTCCCTTCCTTTGTTGACATTGTAGAGTTGGATGAAAATGGCTGTTAAATAAGTCTAGAGAATACAGGCTTTGCATTTTAATCAGCCCAGTGTACCAGTTGGGAGGGGTCCTACTTCTGTGGACTGTTGCACTGTGTGTCTGGAGACAAAAGAGGTGCTGTGGCTTCATGCACAGAACATGTACAGTGTGTGTGTGCGTGTGTGTGTGTGTGTGCGTGTGTGTGTGTGTGTGTGTGTGTGTGTGTGTGTGTATGTGTCCGTCCTTGAATAGATGCCTCAACTTCAGTTGCATTTATATAACTGACATTTTTTACTAATAAAATATAATGGTATATTTTGGAAACTGCTTAACATGCTTTTCCCTGCTGGAGTTTGTATGTAAAGCCATTTTGAACAGTTCTGTTGTTAATATAAGAGAACTGCTTTAAAGAAGTGAAGAGAATGAATCATTTGTTCATGTTGCGTTTCACTGAGGATTCAACTTGCAGAACAGTCACTCAGTGGGCTTCCATTTGCTAGTGGGCTCTGAAGAAATGCTTTAATTTTTGCAACCAGTCCTAATGTATTTCCCAGCTGAGCCCTAACTTCCGGTTCCCACCTACCTCCGCAGACTTCCTAACAATCTCGAACATCAGGACATGTTTTTATCAGGCCAAGTTTAAGACCTGAGCTGGCCCCAGGCAGTTTTATACAGTGTGAGAAGCACTTGATCAAAGGTCTGTCCTGGATGGATCCTACTTGGAATTTCTAGATAATTTTGAAAACTAACGTATTTTTAAAAGATGTAATAGCGTTGATTCCTTGAAAATCTTTACATCTAGCTTAAGTTTTATTACCTGAGTTCTACAAAAAGTGTAAGGCCTCACGTATTCTTATTTCAGTTTGCCAAACTTTCTTCTTGATTTAAGTCACATTCTCTATTTTGAAAAGAAAAAAAAAAAGGAGCAACAAAGAGCCTCTTACCTGAATGATGTGTGGATATCATGAGGACTCTCTCGCTTGCTCCCTCTCTTTTTCTCACCCTGAATGGGCCAAAAATTGATGATGTACAATTTTGATGAATTTCATTTGCTCTATTTTAGAATTCTAGAATTTGTCAGCTCTGTTGAAACAGCTTTGGGTCAAAAGCAGCCTCCTTGGTTTAGATTGTACCTAAAATGTATAACCATCCTGCAGTAGGTGATGAATGATCATAAACAAAATTTTTAAAGTCCTAGAAAAAGAAGTAACATTTCTGGAAGGCAATTTGTGCCCATAGCTGGCATTATCAGATCTGATTTTCATTTTCTGCTGACAGATCAGCTTCTATATTTGAGAACACATAGCCACCATCTAATATCATTTCTAAATATTGTGCCTTTTTCTAGCCAATTCATTGAAGACTGATTCCACATCCCAATTGCTGCTGTTACAAAGTAAAAGTGCATTTAATTCAAAATCTAGTTCATGGTAGAAATCTGTCATTAAAGCCAGTAATCCAGCATCTTGTATGTGTGAAATCTCTGTGTACCTGGATTGCTGATATTTCTCAGGGTGGGTCAGTCTCATTTCCCAGCCAGAGTAGCTAGCCTGGTTTCCTGGAGCTGGGGCACAGCTTCTGCGTTATGGCTTTAACAAGGAGGGGAGAAGCAGAAGTGTTTCTCAGAGGCCAGGGCCAGCATGGGTGAAGGAATGACCCTTTCTGTACTTCCAGGCCAGGAGGCTGGATTCAGCGTGGTCAGACCGCTAGCAACGTTTCCCCAAGAACGCACTTGGCCTTCAGATTATTTCTTTTTCAGAGGCCAGAGAAAATCGAATTTGAAAGACTTTGAACAAAATACATAGATTTTGAAGGGGGGATCAGCTTACAGATTTATGTAAATACTGCTACAACATAGGTGTCATTACCGCCTCCATTGTCTCCCAGGCCTTGCTGTTGGAATTTAGAGCAGACTGAACTGCTTCTCTATTTAAAGTTGGTCCTTTTTGTACATACTAACGCCCACTGTGAGTGACTTGCCTACCTTCTTGGCCACTCTTTTGGTAAGCTTTTTACTCGTCCACATCAGGGTGCTGCTGTCTGTAAGTCAACTGCTGCTTCTGAGCTGCGTGTGGCCTCAACAGCTGAAATGGAATCTGTGTACAATATGTGCATTTTTGTTGAAGTGTTTTTGTAAAAAAAAACAAACAAGAATTACAATGTTACTTGGATGATTTCTTGTAAATGCTGTGAATCTGTATTTGTCATTTTGTATCTGTATATTAAAATTAATTTGCCAAACTGGTTCTAGCAGTGCATCTGTGTAATAAGGTAAGATAGCCACATTATACAAAAAGAGGTCAGGGCTGGGGATGTGGTCCAGTTGGTAGAGTGCTTTCCTAGCATGCATGAAGCTCTGAGTTTGATTCCTAGCACTACATAAAACTCGGCGTGATGGCACATGCCTATAATTACAGCTTTTGGGAGATGGAGACAAGTTAACCTTGGCTACATAATACAGAGTTCAAGGCCAGCCTGAGCCATGTAAGACGGTCTAGGGAAAAAACCAAAATTTAAAGGAACTTGCAGGTCCTATTTTTCCTGACCTTGGTGTTTCTTCCTAATGATTCATCCTTGATAGGTGGGAGGAAATCACTGAGCAGGTGTGGAGGCTCTGAGGGCAATGGGGAGGGGTCAATCAGAATGACTAACAAGAGCGGGAGGTGGGAAGTGATTGTTTTTGGTTGTCCTTTCTGGGTTTGGGGTTCTAACCAGGGGAAAGCAGGCCCTTTCCCCATTGAGTGACAGGAGCCCTGGATGACCAAGTCCTGTAGCAGCTTTTACCCATGATGCAGTGTGGATAACCAGGCTTTTGTGCCCCTGGGTGGCCAGAGCTGCTGGCAGGAGCCTCCACTGGGATGTGAGCCTGTGACCTTGGCCTCCCTCACCCAGGGTGTGGGGTGGATAAGAATTTCCTTCTCTCATTAACAAGCTGAGAAAAGTCCAGTAAACAGCCCATTGTTTGTTGTGACTAATCAGGGATTCCTCAGGGTTGCCAAGGCTGCTCCTTGCTTTTTGTTGTTTACTCCCAACATCTGTCCACTGGCATCCTCTGCTCACTCTTCCATGGGCTCCACCTGCGAGGCTCCCCTTGGGTGAAGGGGGGTGACAACACCAGGAACCTAAAGGGTGGCCCAAATGGTGCCATACATAGAAGAGAAAATAAGAAGGCAGAGATGCTTTACAAGAGTTGGGAGGGAGAACTGGCATTTATTGGCTGCTGCTGCTTGCAGGGGAGAGACCACACCCCCTTAGAGGAGCGTGTGGCTTGAAGAACTATATAGAGATGTGATAAACTTCATCATGAACTGATTGCACCAGAGATTTCAGGCAGATGCATAGCAGCTCCTGGAAATGGAGCCCTTTCTCTAACAAGTAATCAAATCACTGCCCAAGTTGTGAGGACTTCACACACACCAAGACCCCTGCAGGATCCTGTGGATAAACTCACAGTGCTCAGCTAAGCAATGCAGGACTTTGCTATGGCAGAACTGGGCCCATATGGTCTGTTCAGCTAGGTTATAACATGACCAGGATGGTGAGTAGAGACTCTGTGGCCTTGGTGGCGTGTGACATTTCTTAATGTGGCCAAAGAGCTCAAGGCCAACTGCAACCAGCACTGCCTATTAAGGTGCTAATGGAAAGAGATGCCCAGAGAGACAGTTGCCCAGGCAGAAGAATGGCTAGGCGAGTTGGAGGCAGCCCTTGGGGAAGACGAGGGACACTGGTGACCAAGTCTTGTCTGACACAAAGAATGGGTGGAAACACCACAAACTGCAGCAGAAGCATCCTGTGAACAGTGGGCCATGAGCCCCATGCTTGGTCCCCTGGTAGCAAATACCTTGTGGAGTTCAGGAGAGGGGTTAGGGCTGGGAATAAGGTTGGAGAAGGTCCCACATAGACAAGGACACCAGGAGAAGAGATGGGGCCTTTGGCAGTCTCAGACTGAGTGGCCACAGGGGTCTGTAGAGCCAGCTGCACTTACCCACACATGAAGGGACTAGTCTGGGTATAGTTCTCAGGAGGGGAGAGGGAGCCAGGACCTAAAAAAGCCAGACCTAGCTTAATGGATGCTGCCAGATTCAGTCCCACCTCCTACTGGGCATTGGCACTGGCTGTCCACTGTGCTGATGAGGAAACTGAGGCATATGGGGAGAAGAATCAGGTGTGGATATCTCTGCTGAGGTGAAGCCTCCCAGTACCTGCAGACCCCATCCCCACATGGCCTCTGCAGTTAAGCCCCCTGCCCATCTCAGAACAGAGTGTGGTCTCACTGTGTTCTTGAAACTTTCAAGTTTCAGGGGCTGCAGAGATGGCTCAGCAGTTAAGAACACTGGCTGTTCTTGCAGAAGACCTGGGTTCGAGTCCCAGCACCCACATGGCAGCTAACTGTCCTTAACTCCAGTTCCAGGGGATCCGACAGCCTCTTCTGTCCTCCACAGGCATTGCATTGCACGGGTGCACTTACCTACATTCAGGCAATACACACATACACATACAATAAAAATAAAATAAAAAGAAACTTTTAAGTTTCAAAGAGCTAAGGAGGAAGAACTGCATGGCTGAAGGCCAAGCTGCAGTGTGCTCTTCCCAGGGTTGAGGATGGGTGAAGGGATGGATGGAGTCTTTATCCACACCGTACTTCATATAAAAGAACTACAGACAGATGTTGCTTCCAACACCTGGGTAGGGCCATAGTAACCCTAATCATCCATTTTAAAGTTCTAAGTAAATGATAGTGGTTCTAGTGGTCCAGGGCTCCAAAAGCCACTTGGTCACTGTCATACTCATTTTTGTTTCTGTTGCCCCATGATGGACCCAAGGCCCACCAAGAAGCTGTTCACAGTAAGGAAAGAAACCTTTATGGAGACTCCTTCCTCACTTCATCTGCTAAGACATCTTGAGTTCCCTCATTTTACTAGAAAGGATGGAGAAAAAAGGGAATGAAGTTTTCTACAGTCAGTGGTGCTTGCAGGAGGTGCTGGGTGCCGCTGAGGTTTCTGAAGTGCTTCTAAGGCATCTTGCACCTCCCTTGGTCCCCTCCCCTTCCTGCTGTTGTGTAGTGTTGTTCACTAGGGAGTTGTGTGGCAGGAAAGCATGCTCTTATTTACTGTGTGTGGATTCCCAATTTGCACAGCACCTGGGTTCAGCCTGCAGCTCTGGGTAAGTACACTGCAAAACGAATTCTTCACATTCAGCTGAAGGTATCTGGGTCCTAAAGTAGCTCCTGTTGATGTGAAGATGAGTCTGTCTGGTGATATGAGAAGTAGTCAGGTATCTTATGAAGCTCTGGGTAAGAAGAAGGGTGATTGGTTCTAAATTTTTTTTTTCCTCCAGGAAAAGAATCAACAGGCATGGCTCATACCTATAATCTGAGCACTTGAGAGGCAGAGTTAGAAGGACTCGTACATGTTCAAGATCAGTCTGGCTACCGAATGAGTTCCAGGCCTGTCTGGGATACACAGAAATTCTAAGAATAACAGAATTTTCAAGAAAAGCTTATAGATGATTACAAATTTTAATGAGTATGTTTTTATATTTACATCTCTGTTAATTTATGCAGTGTATAACAAAATCAGTGTATGTTGATGAAGAGACATACTATAAATGGTTAGAGCTCATGGAAGAAAATACGAAGACAACTAAGAGATGTGTGGGTTCCTCACTGTCCAGGGTGGAGACTGTTGAGGTGTTGGTTCACCCTTCATGTTTTATGCACAAGCAGGCTGAGCCTCAGCAAAGATTGCTCAGCAAGCTGGGATGGTGGGGCCTGCCTGTCGTGGCAGCATTTGAAAGGCTGAGGCAGAGGACCATGAGTTCTAAGCTAGCCTGAGCTACATAGCAAGACCTTGCCTGAAGAAAAGGAGAAAAGAGTGATGCTCATCTGATTTTGTTAAATGTTAGCATTTTGGAGAGAAGTAAGAATCTTGAAGTGTTTGGGGGAAGCTTACCCTTGATTTTGAATTAAAGAAGTTAATTAGAAGAGGCAGGCACCAGGTGGCTTTTCACAGAGAAACTGGGACGTAAAGGAGAAACACAGGTAAAGCAGGTGAATCCACACAAAGGCTGCCAGTCACTTCTAAGTTCAGAGGCATGGCTGTAGGTTAGTCATAGATTTGGCTCTAAGAAAACTCAGCTTCCTGAAATGGAGTAAGTATGTAGGGTTTACTCTTCCAGAAATGCCCTGTGTACCTACCTGTAACACTCAGCCACTTCCACCAGATGGCCACGTCTTTAGATGGCAGAGTCTACCTGAGTTTTTAAATAGCTACATTTGTGGGGCTGGAGAGATGGCTCAGCGGTTGAGAGCAATGACTGCTCTTGCAGAGGACTCAGGTTCGATTCCCAACACCCACATGGTGGCTATGAACCGTCCTTAACTCCAGTTCCAGGGGAATCCAAAGCCCTCTTCTGACCTCCACGGCATTGCATGATACGGGCGCACTCACATACATGCAGGCAATACACTCATATACATAAAACAAAAATAATAAATAAAATATTTTTTTAAAAAATAGCTACAAATTTGTGACTAGTACTACCTAAAAGTTTTCCTACAGGAGCACGTCCTACCACCTCAAGGTTCTAAAGAAACCATTGGCATGTATTTGCTCATTTGCATATATTTACTTCTTGTTTGTTGGTAATATGCATATTTGCATTAACCTATGCATCCATTTTTGTTTGTTTTCTCAAATCTTAAAATTTCTGCCATGACATAGTCATTGCATTCAACAAATACTGCCCAACCTGCTGCTCCAACTTTACTATGTGGTACTGGGAATAAAATAATGCCAGAAATACAGACAGGTGAGGAGCCAGCTTTTTGGTCCTGTGACCATGTTATCAAATACAAAGCCAGGCCAGATCCTGTGGAAGAGGGGGTGTGGTGCTCTGCACACTCACTGGGGATCCTCAGCTTGGTCAGGAGTCTCACTGGCTCCATCTCAAGACTCACAACCCTGCAGGGGCCTGCACATGCCAATCCCTTTGTCTATGAAATCTTCCCCTTTCACCCAGATCTTGGCTCCAACCTAAGGTTGATCTGAAGATTTAAACAAAGCAAAAAAGCAAAACATTCAGTAAGGCCCAGTGTCTATAGAGGAAAGAATGTGGAAATGGGCTTTTCCCAAACTGTGACCCTGTGTGCATAGGTCCTTCTTATGACCTCCCTGCCTCAACCTGCTGCATGTTTAGGAATGTCCCACCACACCAGGATCAAGTTTTTTTGTTCGGTTTGGTAACTGTTGTTTTGTTTTTTGCAGCACTGGGGTTTGAACCCAAGGCTTCATGTGTGCTATGCAAGTGTCTATCACTAAGCTACAGCTACAGCCACAGCCCAAATGTGGTATATTGGTACACTGCTGTTTGTGCTTATGTAACAGTGTGATGACACATTTCAGCGATGCCTGAATAAAGACAGCCTGACTCTTATCATCCATTTAATCCAAGAGTGGGCCCTGAACTGTTCTGAGAACCTGCTCCTTCAGATTTCTCCCAGAACTGTGCTCTCAAACAAAGGCCCCCACTCCTTCTTTATTGACACTGTACATCCAGCATGAAATGGGGAACCTGTCTTATCAGGGGATTTTCTCTGTCTGATCCCTGCTGACCTAGAACAGCACACACAACCACAAACAGATGTTATTGATTTAATCCCACCTGTTTATTGTTTATAACATAAGTGGGCTAACTGCGTCTAAGGAATATTCCCTGCTTGCAGCACTTTGGATATTTACACAACATACACACCTAAACTATTCTGGGTCAAGGGCAAGGAAGGGTTATGAGGGATTGAAGCTATATGTTTACTTTTCAAGAGGAGCCCAAGATCTAGTAAGATTGTTTTACATTAAGCTGAGTTAATGTTAAATAATCTCAAAACATATGATTAACTTTGGTGGGCAACAAAGAGCAGGAGCAATGGCCAATATTGTTTGAGGGTCTATGAGACCTCTAGTCAATAGCTTCAAGAGAGGGAGTCCGTTCCTGGCACTGGAGTTTTATTGCCTGAATAAAGACAGCCTGACTCTTATCATCCATTTAATCCAAGAGTGGGCCCTGAACTGTTCTGAGAACCTGCTCCTTCAGATTTCTCCCAGAACTGTGCTCTCAAACAAAGGCCCCCACTCCTTCTTTATTGACACTGTACATCCAGCATGAAATGGGGAACCTGTCTTATCAGGGGATTTTCTCTGTCTGATCCCTGCTGACCTAGAACAGCACACACAACCACAAACAGATGTTATTGATTTAATCCCACCTGTTTATTGTTTATAACATAAGTGGGCTAACTGCGTCTAAGGAATATTCCCTGCTTGCAGCACTTTGGATATTTACACAACATACACACCTAAACTATTCTGGGTCAAGGGCAAGGAAGGGTTATGAGGGATTGAAGCTATATGTTTAGGTTACCAGAGAAGCCCAAAGCCTAGTAACCTTGTTTACATTGTAAATAAGCTGAGATAGTGTCCCAGAAAAATCATTCCCATAGTTCCCCCTTGCTTGTTTAACAAACATGCCCATGCCCATGTCATGTCCATATTGTGACAGAAGGCATTCCCAGAAAAGTCATCCCTTGGGTATAACATATATAACTGTGTATATTTGTGTGGGGTGGGGGGGTGAATACTGGATGGAACCCAGGGCTTCATGTATGTTTGGCAATTTTTCTACCATTGAATTATATACCCATACTTTAAACTGTTTAATGTGATAAAATATATCATTAAATATATATAGCATTAAACTTACCAGTTTAATCAAGTGCATGATTCAGTGGCATTATATATGTTCACAGCATTCTGCAACCATCACCACCATGCATCTGCAGGTATTCATCTCCCATTAAACAGTAAGTCCCAACTCCCTTCAGTTCTTGGTACCTGCCATCTTCCTTTCTCCATGGGTTGTGCCACTTTGTGTTCTTAGACAAGCAGACTCACACAGCTGGGTCTGGAGTCACAGCCTATTGTCCTCGAGTCTCATCTGTGCTATAGCACAGCCAGGATTTCCTGTCTTTGGGAATGGAATAATATGCCATTGCATGTATATACTGCATACTGTGTATTTACTCATCCACTGAGAGCCACATGGGTGTGTTCACCCTGTGGCCTCTGTGGACAATGCTACTAGGAACACAGGACTCATTCAAGTCTTCTTTTGGCCCTATTCCAGGTAATAGAATTGTTCACTCAGATGGTAATTCTGTGTGGGCCTTATTATTTCTACTGTGCTTTTTCATGTACATTGTGGTCACATTTGATCTTGACATCATCCCTGTGGGATAAGAAAGCATTTTTCACTGGCTCAAAAAGGTGGCTTGTCCAAAATGAAACATGAAGAGTCTTCTGACCTTAAATTTGGTTCCACATTTATGGTTGACCATCAAAAGTGGTCCCAATCGCTTGTGTTACATCTGAGGACAGTGCTTCTCTACCCCCCCCCTTTCTCTCTCTCTCTCTCTCAGATTTCATTATGTAGCCCAGGCTGGCCTGAAAATTATGATCCTCCTCAGCCTCCTGAGCACTGGGATTATAGGCATGTGCTGCCACCATGCCCAGCTTTGTGACAATGTATCCTTCTGATTGTAACCAGCTTAGTCAGCTACTTGGTTTTTGCCTTTACTTACCCTGACCATAGGCCTAGTGAGACCAGGTGAAGGCCGGTTCCCAGTGCAGAGGGAAGAGGCCATGTCTGGGCCCAGTAACAAGACTTCTTTCAGTTTCTGTTTCCCTCTTTCTGTCCAGACTGTTGTGTAAGTATGAGAATCTGGTGGCTCCTGCTGACTGTGGGAGTCTGCACTAGGAACATGTACTCCCAGGACACATGCCGACAAGGGCTCTCTGGCATCCCTGGGAATCCAGGTCACAATGGCTTGCCGGGAAGAGATGGACGAGATGGTGCCAAGGGTGACAAAGGAGACACAGGTACTCACTGCCTGCAGCCTCCTGCTGCCTTCTCTCATCCCTCATCCCTTTAAACACTCATTTAACACCTGTGCACTGTTCCATCTGAGTGCTTCCAGCTGAGTGCTTGTCCACCCATGTGGCCTGCAGGCACTTCTCCAGGACCTGCTGTATGCCACCTGCTATGCTAGGTGCTGGGTGGGTTGCAGGACATGGCCAACAGCACCCTCCTCTCACTGTCTTCTCATCCCAGGGCATCCTCACCACTTCTGTAGCCACAGGACATTTCCAGTGAGATGCTATGGGTATGATTTATCATTATCAGGATGAGGTCAATGGAACAATTGGGTGGCAAAACCAGTAGCACCACACACACACACACACACACACACACACACACACACACACACACTCACAA